GCAAGTGCCTGAACGTCACCACCTGGCTGACCTTCACACAGGAAAGACTGAAGAATGCTTCTTTAGAGATGGTGGTGTGAAGGTTTGTGTCCAGGCCCCTGTCTCCTGCAACGACACAACCATGCTGTATTACGTTATGGCACAAGAGGGCAACATCAGTCTCGACTAGCAATGCAACTCGACAACATCGTTTCCCATGGGCAACAGTCCACATGCGCCGAGTGAACAGATGTTCGTGCTAAACTTTGTGGCCAAATATAGAAGCAGATACTAGTTGACGATCGTCTCTACTCGTTCATTGATTCGCTTTCTTTGTCGGTGTGTCAGAGGTCATGTGGGAAAGGTTGGAAGAGCCATGCGCAAAACAAGAGGGAGTCGGAGGGCCGACCGAAACAAGGCCGCAAGGGATGGCAACGTGCTGACATTCGTCATTCATAATGCAGGCAAAGTCTTGCTTCAACCACGGCTGATTTGGAAATTGGTGCAGTTGACCGAGTACGTCTAGGTGCTTTCGGCAAGGCACAAACTTGCGTGAAAAGGCCGTCCACAGGAAAGATGCCACACCCCGTAAAACAGATGGACCTTTTTGTGCGTACCCCTGGAGGGGATTTCGGAAGCAGGAATGTCGTACCCGCTCCTCATGATGCACCGTAAGGCACGAAATGGTCGGGGCAATGTTGTTTCGGAGCACAGAAAAAGGACAGCAACAGGACGAGAGAGCCAGCTTTTTCGTCCATAAAATGTCCGTTTCATTCGCAGACAGTGCTCATGTCGCACAGCAAGCAACAGGGGAAGGGAGACTGAGCAGAGGGAAGGAAAGTAACAAAGGCGAGGAAGTAGTGGGAGGTCGAAATCGTGTTAACTGTTTGGTTGGAAACGACCGACGGAACAAAAAAAAATACGCAAGGCTCCGGGGCGCAACTCGTGCACGTCATACATCGTATGAAAATGGAAGCTGCCAAAAGAGCAGAAGAGGAGGCTCATCGAGAATAACGTACTTGACGAGAGTGAGCGAATCCGTGCCAAGTTGTCGCTGTAACGAGCCCTATCGGCTTGACTATCAGGTTTGCACGTCAGAATTAGGAAAGTGCCCGCTTGTACGATGTAGTCTTATGTCGTAGTCCGTGCTGTGGGAGTGCTGGACGAAACCAGAGGCTAAGAAGATAATCGTTTGGCTCGACTGACCTGTGACAAGGGTAGGGGCAGAAGCGACCAGGGTAGAGTCTCCACCCATGATTGGCCCGAGCGCGACCTGTCAAAGAGAGCGCGCCGTTAAAGATCGCAAAGTCAGAGAAGGCGATAGTGGCGATGGAGCACAATTAAGCCGTGGAGCACGACGGAGGACGTATTCGACAGGCCGGAATACGGATGCCGATGGGCGAGGAGCCAGTTACGGAAGCACCTTATACTCCCGTGGAACTCTCCTATCTGGACGAGAAAGCCCGTTGTTGCTCTCCTGTGGGCCGTACAGAGCGGTCGATGCGTTTTGAAAGACCACCGTATCTTACAACATACAACATGCCTCCGCCGTTCGAGGTACGCCGGTCAGAAGAGACGACGGATAAGGCGAGAGAGGGAGAAAAGGACTCAATAAACCCATATGCCTAGACGTTCTGGGGCATCTTTCGCGTAGTTCAGGAAGGTGCGATACTGGCTGACAAACGGATTTGTCGGCCCTTTTCCTCTGCTGAATAAAAGGGGCAATCACGAGGAAATTAAATGGAAGGCGCGTCTGGTGATTATTATGCAAGCTCTCCATAGCTGCAGGACACACTGAAAGAAAATGCAGCAAGAAAAGGTACTATGGCATGGAACAACAAGCTGTCACGGTCCCGTACCTTTTTTTTCCCTTGATCCTTCGAACACAAGCGGCATGTCGAATTACGAGAAACAACGAGTTACAACGCGACCCAACAAGTGGTGAGAATAGGGAGTTGTGAAGAGTATTTAAAGAGGATATCATTACGCCGTATTACCGGCTACGCCTTCCCAGTGAGTTGGTCAAATCAAAACTAGGCATGACTACTTCTCGGGCGGAAATGGGCTGCTCTTTCCGTTTGCCAACGTTCCCACTTCTTTTTACTTCCGTAAAGGGAGAGAGCGTAGGGGTAACAATAATGGATTGATGCTTTTCTTGCAATACTCCGTTCACATACATACGGAGTGTCGTATGTCGTACCACGTACGAAATAAAGATTGTGTCGTCCAGCCGAACACTTTTGAGCACCTCTCCTCAATCCACCAGTCTCCAGTTTTCCCCCTCTTCCTGGCCTCCTCTTCTCACTCTATTTCTTCTCAAAAAGGAAAACGATGGAACTAAGCACTGTGCCGCTTGGCCTTCCGTCTGGAATTGGTGTCGTCGACGCCTCGCGTTTGCTGGCTTTTACGAGCTTGCGGGCCATTGCGTTGTTCCATTCATTCTTTCCACCCTAATCAGCTTCGGCCTCTACGACAAACCGAGCCAATGAGCATGGATACGCCGCTGATCATCGATATCCTGCTAATCCTAGCTCCTTGCACTCCGAATGGAGCCCTGTCCGGACGGACGTCGGTTGAATGCGTTTGAATGACTCGGAACACACAATAATATTAACGAGCTGAGCTCCTGAGCAGTGGCCACGGTCCGAACATTCATTGTGGACGACCAGATGGATTGCTCTTTGCTAGCGGCCATCGAACAGATACAGACGAGCATCAAGGGAGAGCAGTGGTTGGTTGACACAAGCCATTGTACAAATACCACTCTACAACGTCGCAACTCGCAAGATAAGCACAGTCCTCTTCAGCGCACATACAACACCTTCCGAACAGAGACTACGACGGCACCCAGAACAACACCAGCATGCGTGTTGCGGGAAGGATCTCGGCCATAACCTCTCGATCTTTCGGTCTTCTTGCCCACAAGTCGTATCTTGACTCAATATATACCACCCGAAAAGGGCACAGGGTCATGACTATTCCACTTTACGTCTCCTAATTATCGACATCAGACTCCTTTTTAGTAACCGCATCAACGGCCACGGACCTGACCGAACCGTATCCAGCGCGTCTTCTGAAAGCACATGTGCCCACCGAATTCGATTGGAGCCAAAGCAAGACAGTTGTCGGCAGGTTCACGCCATAGTCTGAGAATCCTGAAAAATGAACATCTAAACTATTGAGGTAAATGACAACGGAAACCAAGGAACACTGCGGCTTTGCGGCGGTTGGGCCTGGCCAAGCCGCAAATATTCTTTTCGACGAAATAAACAATGCAAAACGCCGATAACGTGTCGTCTTTTGTCTCAACGCATAGCTTGTCCTCGGTACCTTAAACAGCGTATATTTCTCCGTGAGCGCAGGGCGTTATTTCCGCGGCTTGCTGTCCCTTCCACCGCCAGACAAAGGAAACAACGGACACGTCGTGATGTTATGCCAAGCTGGGGTCTGTTCGGTTGGTGAAGGAAGGCTGAGCCGGAAAAGCCGCACAACAGCAACTCGTCCACACGCACATGTTTCGCCCTTCGCGGCCAAGTGCCATAGAGACGATATAACTCATACAATCCGGCGCAAACAGTCGGGGTAGTCGACGCACTTGGTATTCCTTGCAAGTCCTCAGTCAAGCAGGGTTCAAGTCTACTCTTGGAAACACATTGTTGCGGTTACTCTACGCACCGAAATGAGTATCTGATAATAGGTGCAGCCCGGACGTAAGTACAACATATATGCGACGGGAAAATTGGAGGGTGAAGGTGTGGGGAGAGTCCAGACGATCTTCCCTTGTCCTCCCATTCCATGGTACCCTGCACGGTCCCCTTCGTGACTCTATTGTTCACTTTCCTTGTCGTCCACCGTCTCATCATTGTGACTGAAATCAACAGAAGCTGACTTGAAGCAGGACGCTGCTGCGAGCACAGACCCCACACTTTAAACCCACAGACCTCACATCCTCACAACATTACGCAACAACATGTGTCTACACAGACGTCGTACAAAGTACGGGCGGAGTAAGACGGACGAGTGCTCTCTTTGAATAACAGTACGACATACGACATACAACATACTTCAGTATCGTTTTCTCTTCAATTTTACGACGGCACGTCGGTTCCCCTCTCTTTATCCACTACATCCGGCCCATGAACACAGAAGCCGAATCAGTAATGTACGGAGTAAGTTTAGACATTCCCAAGAAACAAGAATGAAGTCGTTGCTAGTTTCAGACCATGATGCGGGGTAGTGAACGAACGTCGTACAACTCGAAAAGCAAGCAAAACCGGGCCGGAAGTGTGCACTGTCTTTTCCATCTATCAACGACAATTCCACACTCGCGGGGCACAAGCCCCACGGGATTGCTCAGGTCCAGAAAGAAAGAGACACACAGGCCGGTCTCCAATAGACTCGCACGGCCCAGCAATTTGGGCATCTATGCTCATGTTACTGTCCCGTACGGCAGGTGAGAGGCGTTCGAGTGCAGACACTGCGGACCTTTCCATTTACACAGCTCTCCTGTATGTATGCGATATTGAATTTGCATGGCCAGCCAAGCTCCCTGGTAGACGTGTGTCCCACAGCGGCCAACCAGTAGGTAGAATAAAAAAGAGTGAGGTTTGCACAGCCACCCGGTGGCACCACAGTCGCAGATTCCGCCTCCGCCATTTCTGCTCTTCCGTGGGTGCGTGTACATGTACGACACGCGCTCCTGCAGGTGCCACTTTCTCGGGCGAGGCGGCGAAGAGCAAAAGAAGGCATCCAATGAGCAGTCAAAATGGGCCTGTGCATGACTGGGAGCTGAGAGACAATACCACATACGTGTGAGCACGCGGGTGTGCGTCGCATTGGTGATTGACTGGGACATGTGCAAAATACGTGTATCCGTATGTGTGTGTATGCAAGTGTCCTCTTCATGTCTGTGTAATTCGTTCCTTTTTGCAAAATCCCGAATACCGACGAGGTAGGTACGCTGGCCCATTTTTGTAACTTCTGAGCCACCTGCCCATGGTACTCACCCCCGCCCTGCTGCATTATTCACTGCTCTCACTGTCCAGTGCTTCGTCGTCGTCTGGTGCATCTTCCCGGTCCATGTCGTCATCGCCATCGCCCCCTTCCTCTTCGTCGTCCTCGTCATCTTCGTCGCCCTCTCCCTCTGCTTCTTCCTCTTCATCCTCGTCCTCCTCGTCCTCCTCGTCCTCCTCTTCCTCCTCTTCGTCCCCCTCGCCTTCGGCCATCTCAATGTCCTCTTCATCTACTTCGGCCTCGTCATCCTCACTGTTGGCTTTGCCGGCCTTGGGTGCCCGCTTGACCTTTTTGGCCTGTGGTGGCGCATCGCGGCTCTTTGCGCTGGACGTGCCGGCCGCCTCACCTGCCTCGGACGCAGCGGCAAACGACACATCACCATCGACACCGCCCATAGCACTGACATCAGCATCGTCAGCGCCCTCGCCGTCGCCCTGCTTGTCACCATCGGTGCCCTTCTTTGCGGCCGCTACGCGCTTCCGGTAGTCAGAACGCTTGGACGTCTGGATGTGGGTAAACTCTGGAGGGCTGTCAGTGTGTGCTCAAGTATGTGGTTGTATATCCCTATTGTAACTGGGCCATCGGAGGGACGTACTCGCAAACTCTGCCTCGAGCTGTTCGCGCATGAAGCCAAATTCAATGTCATCGAGTGCGGCAAACACGTCTGCCGGCATGATGGTCTTCTTCCCGGCGTTGGTCGTCAGGGTATTGGCGCTGCATTTGTTAGGTTCGTACTTGGATTTGTACTTGCTAGCAGCAACATTTGGTGGACAGTGGTGCAACGTACGCATTGGCGAGGTGGCTGATGAACACAGTCGCGCTCTTGCTCATGCCCGTAATTGCGCTGCCTTGGATCTGCGTGTTGGGTGGCAGCACGCCCTTGGCCAGCCGTGTGACGATTGAACGTGGCATGTTCAGGTCCTGTGCTCGCGTTAGCTCCACATCTTGACGCCCGGAGGGCCTGTGTCTGTTCGGCAGCGGGGGACAGGGAGGCCGACCTCGATCGTTACCGCATCGTTGTTTCGCGATTTTGGGTGCTCCTTCTCTTTCTCTTTCTCCTTGTCCTTCTCCCTCTCGGCGCCTGGCTTTCCGGAGCTCGTTGGCCGTGTATCGGCTGCCACCGTTGGCTCTACGAGGTCTGACGTAACTTGCACCGCGGTTGGGCTCGGTGCATCTTGTACAGCCGTTGCACGGCTGTCGGCTGCTACCGCAGCCGCGCTTGCACTGGTGTCCGTTTTTCGCGACGCGGCGTCGCTTTTCCGGGGAGGCATATCGGCGCAGGGGAACGGTTTGGGTAGAAGTGGCTGTTCTCTTTCTATCCTGTATCCTGTTTCCTAACAACAATGCCTTTCTGTCTGTCGGCTTGCGCAGTTCCGTGGCAGTTCTGCTAGACGCTCGCCATCAGTTGCGTCTGGTCGTCGAGCTCGTTTAGTTCCCGGGGGATCGTCTGGGCGTCGCCAATCTAGCCCAACGCGCTGTCGATTATATACCGGTGGTCAATTTTATGAGAGGCAAGCTGTTGTCGTCGATCGTTCAGTTCTGGCGTGTGTAAAGAGTTTGTCGCATACTTGACCACGGTGCCATCATATGGTGAGAAATTGCCAGCCAAGACTGCAAGGAGGTTCGAGCAGAAAAGCGGGGCTTGTGAGAAGTCGCGTCCTGGTCGCGTATAGCGGTTTTTGTGGTTGCGGGCGCCGTATCACCGCCAGTGTGCTCCACTCGCTGCGCTGGGGCAAATTTATGTCACAGTGTCATGACAGTTTTTTATTTCGTTTTCATTTACTTTTAACTCATAAAATCTGATTGATTTTTTCTACAGTTTATTTGCGTTATATCGAATTGTCGCATTTTATATCTATATTCTTGGGACGTGAAAGTATAGGAACACGGCTCTTGTCGTGTGTTTAGTTGTTGGTTTGGGCATTAAAATACTATCACATCCTAAGGAAATAAATAAATATCATTCACAACATGTACCTACCTTGCAACGACACCATGTCGCCCAAGCCGCAAAGGTTCAAGTTGCCAGGCCAAATCCTCATATCAGAGGCCCCGTGCCGCGAAGATGCCATCGCCAGGAACAGGAGCCAGAAGATGCCCTTTCTTGTCGCCCGGTGCAAAAACAGAAGAACTGGGGCCCAGATATAAGGTGCTTGAAAAAGAGGCAACTGACAAGAAAGAACTTGAGCAAAGGGGCAACAAAGAGAACAATGCACCGTGGGCAGGATAAAAATCTCCGAACCGTAGATAAAACACGGATGGGGGAAGAGATCTAAACTATCGAGGGCCGAGATGCCCACGACGAGGAAACAAGAAAACATCCCCAAACGTACCAGATATAATGACATTAGAAGCTCCGGCCACGAAGAACGGGGGTGTGAACACACACAGTTCTGCCTAGCCAAGGTCGCAGTAATACAATACGAAAACGGGGGAGACCTTGTGCACAAAACGGCGGAGGTAACCGTTCAGTCGCCGTTTTTATTTCATTCACATGCTTGTCTCGCCCATGATTTCAATTCTACGTAAATATCCAAGCGAACGCGTCCATTCAGACACGAGAACGCCATCGCGGACCAAAGACGGGAATGTGAGGTGCGTAGCAGGGTGAAAACAGAGACCCGGCAGCTTCTGGAATCAGGGAACCAGTTGCACAGCGGTTATGACACCAAGACATCTCTTTCCCTCCCTAGAAACTCAGATTGAAACAGGAGATATGTTCAAAGTGCCAGTGACCCAAAGAAACTGGGCTGTACCATCGCTCCTCGTCCCTGTATCTCGCACGTGCACATCTGGACACAGCCTTTTCACACTTGGATAGCCGTGACACAAAGAGGTAAAGTGCGTCGTTTTCAGACGATTTTTATGGGCCGAAAATAGCATCCTGGAGACTGGGTATCATTAGACCAAAAGTAAAAGACTTAATATCACTCATATAAGCACGGTGGCAGTGTCAAAACATTAATACGAGGGGCCTCTATGCGTGTATATTAGTCTCAATAAGCCTTTTTGCGTCGGGAAGAATGCTCTACGTAGGAGCAGGGTGCTGTTTACGCCGGCTGAATACTGATCCACGATGGATCTCAACCATTCGTCTTTCAGGGCCTCTCGACTCGCTTACTGTTTTTAATAAGTGCTCTTT